ACGTACGTTTTTTCGTTCCGTTTTTTTTTTCCTTACCACCTACCCCCCCCCCCTCCCCTCTCTCTCTCTCTACATTGAGACTTTTTCCTTTGATGTGCTGGTGCTGGCGGAATAGGTAGTGTCTTACCAATTAATTCTCTATAGGTTTGTGGGATGGATAGTGCTGGAGGTTCACCTGTAATGAGTCCAGGAATCGGGATTCTTAAACACCCTTACTAATAATAGTTTGCTCTGTTACGGAGTACTTTTCTTTTTTAAAAAAGGGAAAGGGAAAGGGAAAGGGAGTGACCTTTTTCCGTATTATATCCTGAGAGCTAGAGAAAGTAGGAGTAGAGTCTTCTTGTATAAACGAAGTATTGCTTGTATACTTTCGATTTAGCGGTGGGAAGGTGCATGGAATAAAAACCATGGGCCATGATCGCATATCACTTCCTTGAGGATTGTCGGAATCAACCACTTATGAAATCCCATCCACACGATTACCGACACGCTGCCGAAAAGATTGTGCGGGCCCTAGTCTCGACACAGATAGAGAGCGAGGTCTCAGGTTTGTTTAGGAGCCTTGGTAATCTTAACAACTTTGATAACTCTGGTAACTTTGGTGGAGGGATACACTTGAGCCACCCACGGAGCTTTGAATAACTTCGATTCTAATGTAAACTCCGTGCGAAGTCCTTGAGGTCAATCATCGAGATGCAATACAACAATAATAATAATAGCTTCCAAACTCCCAACCTTTTCGGCTATTCTTCCATGTCCCCGCTCCTTCCACTTCTGGCGTTCCCTCTAAGCTCTTTCCATCCATCCGTCTACACGCACGCTGACCTTATTTGGGTCGATGAATGTCGTTAATGACTTGTTCGGATTGAGCTTCGTCATACCGGTAGCATCAGCTGGATCATCTTTTCCATCAATCCACCAAACTTCAGCAAGTTCTCGTCGCTCATACGACTGCCGAAGAGCCATGCTGTGGATCATCAATCGTTTTTCCTTCGTAGTTCGAAGTCTAACGAGATACTCGTAAAGAGGATAAGAGTCAGTGCAGACAACTCTCCATATCCTAGAAGAGATGGTCGAAAACACCACCCGGAGCTCATCTCTATCGAGTTACAGACTTTAGCTAGTCTCCTCTTCTTGTAAAGCCCGCCGGCCACTGATTCCTAGGCAGGAGTCATTTCCGTCAACGTCGTTGACGTGGGCGAGCATCTTCATAAGACTCAGTCAGACACGCCGCAACCGTTTGAATGAATTGAGTGTAATATGGGCGCTATCAAAATTTTTCCTCCATAGCTATCTATACCCATTAGCAGGATACAAGAGGAATTGATGAAGAAGAGCCAGCTTACTTGTTCTCGCCGTCCTGAGTAGGCCCCTTTACTTCTGCTGATGTCCCTTCATACAGGGATTGCATGTGCCACTTTGATTTCAGTCTTCATTGCAGGAGACTGTATCGTGGGATTTGTTCCGTGTAGAGCGGCTAGCTTGCGGATGTGCTAGTCGCGGTCTAGCTCTGCTTGGTAGGAGATCTTGTCCATCACATTTGCGAACAAGTAATGCATATCGGGAAGCTTGCACCCTGAGCTGCGCACGAGCAGAGAGGTCAATCATCTTGTAACCGAGCTCCATGGCCAGTAAACCGAGCTCGTAGCTGGTTGTAGAAAGCTTCATTGATGTAATTTGGACGAGATAAATGGGATTGCCTCGCCATTGGCCATGTGCCCGGAGATATCGTTGTCTTAAGTCCTCAAATGTTGTTGAGAGGACTGACTGATTCCAAAGCCTGGATATAATGTTGATCCAGTATGATTGCTCCTTCATAAACCCGGTTTCGGAGCAGATGCCGTCGGAAGGAAAGCCCATGAGCACGTATACCTTCCGCTCTACCGTCTCTCCACATCAGCCTTCAGTAGCGATGCACCTCGCCCAGGATTGGAGTGCACGGGCTCATCCCTGCTAGAGCGATCTTGCCCTCCTCGCAAACGGCCATGGCTGCGCGCCTTGCGGCGTGGACTTCCTCGTCTGCGCACCGTCGGTATGCTTCATCTAAATACCTATTAGCGAGGTAGTCCCTAGCCTTCGATACGCACCCTTCTTACTAACCATCCCTAGCTTCTCGCAATGTGTCGCCCGCTGTCGATCGCGTAGCCTGAAGATCGATCTACTTCTATACTGCGAGGTGAAACTCGACTTCTTTAAACTACCTGCATCTCTGTCTAGCTATATCCAAATGCTAACGGCAAAGATTGTCCTCGCGTGCTGTTTTTTTTTCTTTTTGAGCAGCCCGCGACCCGGCATATGAACTGGGTCGTTGACGTGGGCAGCCACTATGCCTCAGATCCGGGGGAGATTCGTGCGGCAGGAATGAGCTCTTCTTGCTCGGTTGTACCCGAGTCTGTAGTTTCCGGCCTCCTGGAGCAGAATGATGATTAGCGACCACATATGCATCTCCGGGGAGACTGCCTGGAAAACAGCATAGAAAGACTCACTGGCTGTTTATGTGGCTGGAGATGTCTTTATTGGTTGTGATTGTTTCCAATCTGGTCGCGGCAAGGGGTGCAATTTGTCGAGATATTGTTGAATATGGGCTTCTTCTTTGGAGCACCCGGGGGTTTGAAGCGCGCCGGTACTTCGGGGTTCATCCACCATGTATGGAAATGTGTCAATGCATGCCTCGTGAGGCGTTGTGATGTGTAAGGTCTTAAAGGTAGCGACAGTTCGTAACTGCCTGCAGCATGGGATTCTCCATATTGAGCTTTCTCCATTTTGAAATTCTTGTGTTGGTATATAGTATACAGTAGCATTGAATAACGGTATGGATTGGCACCGCTCCTACTCTAGCTCCGAGAAAGATATAATTACTGTGGAGGATTAAATGATGATATGGAAAAGATGAAAGGTGATGAAGTGGCATATATATATAGGAGATCCTGATGAGCAAACATTGATCCTCAAGCGCTATTTGTATTGCTGTTTGTAGTACGGTTGTTTATGTATACGTAAATAGACAAATCTGGTTGTTTGCGCATTTGTGTTCAATCAAGCATTGACAAGGCCTATGCTAATTCCAGTCAAGCTTTTGAGGGCATTGTTGCCACAGAGTTTAGTCCCATCCACTTTTTTCTGCGAAAAAGCGAGGAGAAAGTTTGAGTCGCCGCCGCAGTAAACCCAGTTCTCCGAATACCAAGTAGCCTCGCTCAGTACTCACTCAGACTCGAGTATTATAGTCGCAACATACTGAATCGTTGTCGTTTGGAGGGCAAGCTTAGAGCCAATCAACAGTGCCTGCAAGCCAGATGCGTCTCGGGCACAAGTAAGAAATCATCGAGGCTTGCTCCAGCATCGGGCCGTTAGAGGTCCTGCATGCATATCGCATGCAGCCAAACACACAATCGATTGCTCCATAGATTTCTGGCTATCAAGATCAGCCCATACACTGTCTCGGCCCGCAATTGTAGCAAACCCAAGCGGCCAGTTTGAAGCCGGAATTGCTATTTCACGAAGAAAAATGGCCGTAGATACTTGATGCGATAAGCAGTACCCGTACCTATTTGTTTATTTGCCGTCTGGTTTCTCGCTTCTGACATTCGGTGTTTCGCTTATGCAATCAACTATTATTTCTCTCTTGACCATGGCTCTGGCGGGCTTTTCCGACCCGTATCCAAGAACATTCTCTCTCATGCCCTTTTCGCAGCCTCTCAGCTTCCCCAAGCTCGTATCCCATCAGGGCGTCGTAGCCACACTCTGGCCGCTTAAGCTTTTCCCGTGGCCTAAACCTCTTCTTCTTTTGTGTCTGCCGCTTCGGCAAGGGGCTGCACGGGTTCCCGCCCACCTTCGCCTTCCCCCACTACCGGACTTACCTTGGCTTCCGGAATTCTTATCGCCCATAATGAAGTTTAGACTTTCATCACGAGATCACCCAGTCCGAAGTAGGTAGGTGCTTAAGCGAAGTCGCTTGGCATGTATATTACTGCCAAGATGGTCGTCACTATTGGCATGGTAGCTTATCTTTGGATGGTGGAGTCAAAAAGAAGGGTCACCGCGACTCGGTTTTGTTATGTGACCAACCCTCGGGTCGAGCCCAAGACATTGGCGAGCCTCGATGGGGTTTCTTTCCTTTCTCAGCATTTGAAACTCAAAAAAAAAACTTGGCTTCTGGCACTTAAAGCTTGATTCATACTCCCACACAGTCGGGTGGAGTATATATCAAGTACTTCTATCTAGAGTATGTACTGATTACACCGGCCGGGCCCCGGCTCGCTTGCAGAACATGGAATTGGAAATGTGCCCGCTCAACTGCCATCTACGACTGGATGAACACGGTACAGCCAAGTAGCGGTTGATCGGTTCTGCGTCGGAAGCGGTTATCGGTCGAAGAATGTCAACAAGTCATGAAGGTGAAGTTGAATCTGGCCCCTTTTACGCCCTCAAGCAGGCTTACGGGTATCTCTGGATAGCTATCCCATATCATCTACAGTACAGTCAGTACTCGCCTGTCACCCGGACTTGATATTCCTGGCCGCCTAGCTTCATGGGGAAGCTATCTTACAGAAGATATGCTCAAGCATGTTGCGAGGGGGCTAATCTTTTGGTAGAGAGGTATTTCGAGAGGCTATTCGTTGCAATGGGAAGCTCCAGGCAGCTCGAGATACGCACGTGGAGCTGGCAGAAGTTGTATAAGACCAGCTCGGAAGACCCGAAGGACAAGGGCAGCCACAATTTTATTCCCAGTTCCTCGGTTCCAAAGGGCCACCACTACCATTCTTCACTATTACGTTCCTGAGGATGCACTTCCTTTTCCGTACTGGAGCTGTTGCTCTTCTTGCCATCAACGCTATCGGCCACCCTACCTCTTCGCACCAGAGCCGTGGCAATATCCAGGCCAGAAAGATTGACTTGGAAGCTTTCAGACTCACCACTGCGAGTACCTACACCAACGCAAGCACCGCTGCTGATATTGAGCCCTCCGCTGGCCTTGTGAGACCAGCCGGCTATGTCAACACCGCCACCGCTTTGGTGCGGTCTGTTGCCCCTAGTGCTGAGTTTCGCCTGGTGGAGGATCACTACGTAGGATCAAACGGTATCGCCCACGTCCACTTCAAGCAAACTGTTCACGGTCTGGACATTGACAACGCCGACTTCAACGTCAACGTAAGTCATCTGAGAACTGGAACCCGCCCAAAATCGACCACTGCTAATCTGTAACAGGTTGGCAAAGATGGAAGGGTTTTCTCTTTTGGGGACTCTTTCTACGATGGAGAGTTGCCAGCTGTGAGCCCGATAGTGAAGCGTGATCAAGTCGAACCTACTGCGGCGTTGAAGGGCGCCGCCGCGGTCTTGGACCTTCCCATCAAGGCTTCCGAAGCTGTCGCAATCCCCCATCCCGAACAGACTTTGCAATACTATCTCATTCAAGGCGCTGAGGGTACCGTGTCTGAGCCCAAGGCGAAATTGGTTTACTTCCAAGACGCTGACAACAACCTGACTCTGTCCTGGAGAGTAGAGACTGATATCACCAACGACTGGCTCCTCACCTATGTCAATGCTGTCAACGCTCAACACATTCTTGGTGTCGTTGATTACGTGACAGATTCACGGTGGAATGTCTAGTAAGTTCTTTACTGCAGGCGCCTCTACATGCGCTTACAATTGATTAGCCCGTGGATGGACGTCGCCGACCCTGACAAGGGAAGCCGCGGTATCGAGACCGACCCTCAGAATGCAGAGGCGTCCGAGTGTGGATTCCTCGGAACCGGTACCACCACCTACACCGTGACGCGTGGTAACAGTAAGTGCACGCACATCCAGTCCCTCCCCTATGTCAAGGCTTGAAACTGCCTCGCGTCTGCCTCGTGAGCACGGCGAACAGAGTAACAAAAGCTGATGGTCAGTTCAGATGGAATCGCTCAGGCCAACTTTGAAGGTGATCAGTCTTACATCAACGATTTCCGCCCGGATGGAGGCGCATCGGGAATCTTCGACTTCCCGTATAGCCCTGCTCCTACCGACGCCGAGTCGTACGCTGCCGCCTCGGCTGCTCAGCTCTTCTACACGTCCAACATGATGCACGACTTGTACTACGTCCTCGGATGCACCGAAGCGGCGGGGAACTTCGAAGTCAACAACGACGGCCAAGGTGATCTCGGAAACGACCCTGTCATCCTCAACACGCAGGATTCCACCTTCAGGAACAACGCTGACATGACCACCCCCTCGAGTCCGGCGGCATGGGCGAAGGCTGGGGAGACTTCTACGCGATCGCCATCTCCCTGAAGGCCCGCGAGACCCGCGCCGCCGACCGCGCCATGGGAGACTGGATCAACAGCGACCCGGCCGGGATCAGAACGTACCGCTACTCCACCCGTCTCGCCACCAACCCCCGGACCTACGCGTCCGTCAACACCCAGAGCCGGGTCCACACCATCGGCACGACCTGGGCCGCCATCCTGTACGCGGTCCTCTGGAACCTGATCGACGAGCACGGCATCACCGCCTCCCGCACTCCCACCGTGGACGCCGACGGGGCGCCCACCGACGGCAGGTACCTGGCCATGAAGCTTGTCATGGACGGAATGGCCCTGTGAGTTTCCCCCCTCCTCCTCCTCCTCCTCCTCCTCCTCCTCCTCCCCACCCACCACCCTTCACGATACAGACTACAGACTACAGACTCCAGATCCCAGCCATCACTAACCCGAGCTCCAGCCAACCCGGCTCCCCAACCTTCATCACGGCTCGCAACGCCATCATCGACGCCGACCTCGCCCTGACCGGTGGTGCCAACCGCTGTCTCCTGTGGAAGGCCTTCGCCAGGCGCGGTCTGGGCAGCGCCGCCGCCGCCGCCGCCGCCGCCCAAGGAACCGGAGCCAACAGACGCATAGAGGACTACTCTCTGCCAAGCGGCTGCTAGATCTCTCCACCCGGTCCTGAAACAGAGCCGCGGACGGGGGGAAACGGCCCACCTCTCTCTCCTCCCTCTCTCTCTCCTGGCGGCGGGAGATAGAAGCCGGGAGCTGGGTCTCACGATAAGAAAATAGATAGACGGCGAGGGCACGACGGAAGGTGATAAGTAGTTAGTTACATGTGTGTGTTTCTCATCATCGATTCTTTTACATTTCTACATGTCTTCTTTACTATCTAGCGATTGAGAAACGACGTCTTTCTTGACCTGTGTCCTGCACATGCGCAACCGATTGGCCTCGCCGCGCCATCCATCCCCGCCCAAGCCTCGACTGCTTTCCCGCTCGGCTTCGCGGGGCGAGGTGCAAAAGTGCTGATGGACCGTTACTCCGCGCGTATCGTCAGATTCGCCGCCCGCCTTCAACACCAGCGAGCAGCGCGCAGACTGAAAGTCGAAGGTCTGATAGTAAGGTCTTTCTTGAGTTGCCGCTTTTGCAAGATACTAGAGATTCAAGCGCGCGTCATCTCTCTCTATCTGTTGTTTTATTCTTGACTTCTTGTTTGAGTTCCTGGTTCTTTTTTTGGGGGGGGGGATTGGGTGGGCTTATTTATGCTTGGAAAGGGGAAGGGGGAGGAACTCGCTCGCTCGAGTTTTGTAGAGAAGGAAGGAAAGGTTAGGCGGATCCGCGGCTGCTTTGGTTACTTAAGTACTTTGCAGCGTCAGGTCTCTCTCTGGCTTCGTTATGCACTTTGTGGGATCCTTGATTATTTTTTTTTTTTTTTTTTTTTTTTGCTTTTTCCTGCGTGATGCGCTGCGCTGCTGTTAGTTCTATTTTAGAAACGGCCGGAAGAAAGACTTGTAGAAATCCGCCGGGATGATCAACATCCGTGCCTTTTTTCGGATGATCAGTGGGCCGCGAAAGAAAGAAAGAGAATCTCATTCGCGTCCCCGGACTGAGCTAATCAGCTTACAGCAGTACCGAGTACCTACTCCGTCCGGACCTACCCACCCAAGCCACCATCGGCATCACGAGGCCAACCCGTCCGCGCATCCACACACCAACGTCGACCTCCCGTCCGGCGCTACGTATCCGAAACGGTGAACCTGTCGCAGGTTTGAGGCGGGGGGAGGGGGAGGGTCGGTCTACTGCGCTTCGCAGCAAGCTCGCTCTCCAAGACGAGAATGCCTCCGTTGGCAGCGACGCATGAGGCGGGTCGGCGGCAGTCCCCTCGGCGGTTTCTGGTGCTGCTGGTGCGCGGTCTCGAGGCGGAACGCTTTTGGAAGTCGCGACGGAGAGAGGCAGCGCGGTATTCGCAGGCTAGATATCAAAGATTTTGGCAACTCCGATGTTTGGTGTTTACTTACCTTATGCGCGATCGGGAGGTGGCAAGCGAAACTCTAAAGGAGGTGTCAGGGCGGCGGATTTACGCTCCGTGGAGGGCCTTAAACTTCGGTATATACCGGTACTATGTATGGTCTGAAGAAACGGTGCGTGTCTTCTGCTGGTCTGGTTTTATATAATCATACTATATCCACACTTCACGTTAATACCCTCTTCTCGCCCTTTACACGCGGAAGGCTATGCAGATTCAATTTGCTGACCGCGCTAGCCGAGCTCAATGCAATGTTGGATGATCACAATACCATGTCTCTTTCACCTACCTACCTACTCTGCGAAAGATGGGGCGCATTTCCGCTTCTACACCTACCTGCATACATACATACATACAGAACCACGTCTACTTTCCCCCACAGCCTACAGCGTCGATGTTGCTGATGGAAGGTCGCGAGAGCTGTGCGAACTCTTTCCGCAGAAGGAACGGCTGGATCCGAAGTACGCATGCTTCGAGCCCGCGCAGAACGCAGCATACCTTCTTGACATGGGAAAGTGGGAAGGAAGAGCGGAGAACAAAGCCGCCGTGGCCCCCGCTTTGCACCTTCGAACTCGACCGGGAAGACGACACGCTTGTCCGACAGACCATCCCGTCCGTCCACCAATCACGATGGCCGAGACGAGGGAATGGCTTTTCTCTGCCTGTCCCCGGGGATTTCACACCGTCGGACGAATCCAGCGCGTCAAACGCCGGGCATCCGATCCCAACTCTCCCATCCTGGAGAGCTCCGGGGACAGGTCACCCGGAGACTAGAGGGGTGTTTTTTCGGTACTGCTCCGATGGCAGATATGTGCTAACCGCTTGGTTAGTCGCGTCGACTTTTACGTCAGAGCATCAATACGGGAATTGCAAGGTGGTCCGGGTCGGTCACTTGACTTGTCCTACTGAAGCGCGCGCCACATCGCGGCGTACATCTTTCGCCCAGACTCCTTCCAGTTACATCTTCAATCGTCGTCGCGCGGGAATAAGCTGAAGACGTACCGGTAGTCATACCCGCGGCCCTAGACCCAGACCTCGGGAGCCTTAGGAGCCCTACAGCAAAGCATTACGCGTAACATCAAACCTGAGTTCAACGGGCTTGCTTTTGCTTTTGTATCTAAGAAAAAAAAAAAAAGGAATTTGCTTTTCATCCTCGATGATACAAAAATGATTACTTACGTGGCGCCGGCATTGAAGGAACCAAGTACGATGCGTGGAAGGTCTGGGTGAGCCAGGCCATAGCTAACCCCAACCCCAACCCCAGCCCCATGAGCGCGATAATCATCTTTAGTCAGCCGAACATCCAGCCGACGGGAGGACTCGGACTCTAGAGAAGGACAGTAGTACCGGCTCGTGCGATGGTATGCAAGACCTACTACCATCTCCTCCGAGGCCGAGCTTCCCGCTATCTGCCTCCGTCTAGCTCTGAGCCTCATCCTCGACTCGCCCATGTACGTACGCCGCCCTCGCCTCACCCTCTTCCCAGACGCGACTGTTTGTCAACCGACCGCGAGCGCGGCCTTCTTACATCTCGCAGCTCTCTAAGCTTTCGCGACTAGCCGCACTTAAGCAGCAGCGAGCGACAGACAGGAAGAGAAAGTCCGCAACACTCACTCGTCAGCCCTACCCAATTCCCCTCCTAGCGAATGCTTCTTTCTTTCTCCCTTCCACAGGACACGTCCGCGGCGATTGCAATCTGCCATGGCAACACGTCGAGACTTCTTCCCCTGTCGTGCAATCCGAGCTTGGCTCTGTCTGATGGATGAGGTTTCGTGCGAACGGATGGCCGCAGACTAGGTAGGTAGGTAAGGTAAGGTAGGTAAGGTAGGTAGGATGACGGCACATATCAGCAGAGAGAGAGACAGACCGCACCCTCCGACACCCCATCGCGGTACGAGAAACGCGGTCTCTGATGGACATCGAGATGGTGTACCAGGAGAAAAGAGATTCTTCAGAAGAAGAAGCAGAGATACGTAGGAAGTTTCTTTAACCTGAGGGTGTCTCCAAAGTTTAACCTTCTCCCACTCCAAACCCCCTGGTGACCCTAGGTACCTTACTTACTACTACTTAGGCCTGTTACCGTGGTACTACTAAATCAATCGTACTTCGACTTCGACGTACAGCGGTGCTCTCCGAGTGGCTCCCAGCCCCTGCCAACCCAATCGCACAGACTCAACCATCCGTAGAACGTGATTGGGCGGAACCCCAGCCAGATCGATCCCCCTGCCCAATTATACTTTCGATATGTGCTGATACAGTACAGTATGTAACGGGGGGGAAGAGGATCTAAACATACGGGAACGGGGAACGGGAGGGGAAGGGGGATTTTAGCAAAAAAAGCGGGGTTAAGCTTAACTAACGGTTTGATTAACTACCGTTCCTTCCGCGACGAGGGAATTTAATCGACGCCGGCCGATGCCTGGTTTTAGGTCGAAGGGGTCGGGTCGACCCTTGGTTTGGGTGCGGAGGGAGGTTCGATGCGTGGGCCGCCGTTACGGGAGTGACCTAGGGCTGTATGTATGTACGCACGCACGCACGCGAATGGCTGGTCTACCGGTACATCGATCGATCATCAGATAGATGATTGATGAGGGACACTGTCAACAACGTCGCGAGCAGCTCCAACCAAGGAGGGACGGACGGACGTCTTTGTGATTCGTCAACCATTAATGTGTATCTAGATCTCGGCGCCGTTCTAGTTCTAGAGCGAAGCCCGACTGTCTGTCAGGCCGGGCGCCTTGCTATAAAAGGTCTGTCTATAACGAAGAGAATTGGAAAAACGCCTTGCTTATTTGATGAACCTCCGCGCCTAAGCGGTGCCGGTCAGCTGTCCCGCCAACGCCAGGACCGGGGCGACGGTGACCGTCGACTCGGACCGTGTCCAGCCCTCTTCGAACGGCAACCGCTCCTGCTCTACATTCCCCTCTCGTCAGCACCGTTCCGTACCGCGCAGGTTCCCCCGTCGGAATCTCACTCCGACGAGGAGAAGGAAGGAATGAAAGATGAAAGATGAAAGATGAAAGATGAAAGATGAAAGATGAAAGATGAAAGATGAAAGATGAAAGAACAGAGGAGTGACGTACCGAAGACGGTCTTGATCCATTCGGTCACCGCCGGCGCCGCGACCGCAGGGTCGTTGTCGGGCTCCTCGAACACGGTCAGGATGGCCGCCCACTCGATGGCGCTGTTCCGGAGGATCGTCGGGGGCAGGTCGAACTCGGGATTGGTCGCCTTGGACGTGGCGATGCGGGCGTCGCGCGCGGCTTTGGCGGTCGCGGCGTCGATGGTCGGGCCGGTGAAGAAGGCCGCCGTCGCGCCCCAGACGGTCGTGTTCAGCGTGAGCGCGTTGCCCCAGTACTGGTCGGCGCGCGAGAGCGAGGCGTCGTGCGCGATCAGGCCCGGGCCCTGCAGGACGAGGTCGTCCAGGTTGAAGGTGTTCGGGTTGCCGGTCGTGCTGGTCAGGACGGCGGCGGCGCCGAAGATGGCCGTGGCCGCCGGGTCGAGGTTGATGGACTCGGCGAGGCCCTGGGCCAGATCGTCCATGGAGATGTTGAGGCCGTTGCGCGGGAGGTAGCCGTGGTTGGTGACGGTGTTGAGCATGGGGCACGGAGCGCGTCCTGGGTCGGTTTTTCAGTATCAACAAGTTTACCGAGGGGGGGGGGGGAGGGGGAGCGCTATGGATGGGAGACGCCGAGATAGACTACGTACTGTCGGTGTCACTCGGAGCAATGTACTCGTTTTGACACGCGCCGAGCGACGAAGCGCTCATGATCGTAGCAAGAGTACTGAACTTCATGGTGAAGATTATAGACGATTAACTGACCGCGAGATGAAAAACGGGAAAGCGGTCACGAGAAGAGATGGAGCTGTGCTGGGGAGAAGGGAAGCGTCCATCTCATCTCGCGGACAATCGAAGTATTTAATTGAGTTGTCCTCCTTCTTGGTACTCGAGAGTTTCCTCTGCCAACCAGTCACTAAGGACTGCCGCGGTTCCGGACTTCCGCTCCATACCACGGGGTACCTCTTCATCCCAACGCGAGACGACCCCATCACCGTCCCCTCATGGACGGGTCGACACACTCGGACTTGGCCGGACGCCGCCGAGCCAAATGGAAAATTCGATGAGAAACTCAAACGAAAGCTTTAAGAAAGCCAAGTTCTGACGAGCATCCCACTTCCCAATCAGCATCGGGGCATTTGGAATCGTCGCAGCCTCGCGTCTAGTGATCCGAGGATTGGACCTACCGCCGATCCGCGCAGGGCCAGTCTCCAGGTGCTCCTGTCCCCAATTGCGTTTTGGTCACCACCACGAGTCCGAGTCGGGCAGGTCAAGTCCACAAGCAGTCCGATGTAATTAGAAAGGATGGGATTGCCCGGGGCCGGTGGTCGGTTGGAACAGCGCAGGTCCTGGTCCGCTATCCCGGGAGCACTATAGACAACTAGTAGTATTAGTTACCTTACTGCTACTACTACTACTGCTACTACTACTACTACTACTGCTACTACTACTACTACCATTACTACTACTACTGCTACGTAACCTGACCGCCAGTAAGGAGTTATCATCTGAGTTTCCCACCCACGAAAACTATCAAGTATACAAGAAACCTGACATTATTCACGTACCACGCAAGCGACCACAACACCTCCTATCCATCCACCGCTCCACCAGCGCAACCCCCTCAGCGGACCCTCAGCCCTAACACCGCAACCGAGACCAACGCAGAAACCGACGGTGAGTATTTAAAAATACATACCCATCAATCATTGCCCCTCCCTGCCATCCATTGCCATCTACCGTACATACTGCCATTCATTAGTAGTATATTATACATCCACCGATCGCGTGTTTGTTGACGTCAACACTATTCTTGACGCCGATCGTTCGGATAGAGTACGGAACCTTAAAAAGGGGTGGCGCGCGGCGCTTTCCCACTTGACTTTGCAAGACCAGATCGGCCGGCGCCCTGCTTATTTCCGACTCTGACAAACGTCACCGGCCTGATTGTCGCACCTGGAGGGGTACGGTACCGCGCAGGGGTTTTTTACGAAGGGTAATACTACTACGTACTAGTAGTACGTAGTACGTAGTAGGTAGGTAAAGTGCTGTAGGTAGAAGTAAGACTTTCGAGGGGGTCGACGTAGGTACTAGATCGGAGATGCGTCCTATTGGATCGGTAACATGGCGAAAGTATATCTTCTACTGTATCGGACAGGTGTGAATTCTAATCGATGGGTACCTATTTGAACGCTGCCATTGTTTTCCCTCCCCTTTTTTTCTGGTAAGAAGCGTGGGATTCGGTCGAGAGAGGTACAGTACCGGTATACTCGTTGCTTTAATTAGAACTACAAGACAGCGTTGGTCGGTCGCAAGTCGCGGGGGAGAGGGAGGGGTGGTGCACAGCTAGCTAGCATGACCGAATCACCTCGTCGATAAACAGCGAGAGCCTACC